TAAGTCTGTCCACTACACACTTCCCTCCATGTAGATGCGGTTCCATTGAGGACCACACGCTGAGTACGGCCGGTCAGCCAGCTACGGATCCATCTGGTGGTGATGCTGTCTAACCCGCATTTTTCTATCTTATCAAGTAGTAGGTTGTGATCTACTTTGTCAAATGCCTTGCTGAAGGTATATATAAGTATATATGCAAATGATTTCATAGAATTTCTTTATCACAGAAGTTTGAAATGTAGGCAATAAAAAAATACACACAATCCATCAAGATAACTAGGTTTTGTGAATATGCTTGCTGGCCTGACCAATTTTAGAGGCAGAGGATATGTTTTTCAGTTCACTCAATTCAGTCACACAAACCACCAGGAGTCATGTGACCGGTTTTATCCCCTTTGGGACTTTTCAGACACAGATAACCAGAGCTTATTGTAGAGAGCTCAAACCTCTGCTGGGAATTGAACTCATAGATTTTTGCATTTATATATACTGGACAGCAGTTGCAGGAAGAGATACCTGAGGCACTATCTGTAAAAAGATATAAAGTTCATCTTCCAATTATGGGTGAATTAATGCCTGAATATTTGTCATATGCCATGTCACTTACTTCTACATTTAGGTTGCTTTTCCAATAGACCAGCACACCCTATGGAATGATTACTCTATTGTACTACTTTCTCATATCTGTCAGTATATACAATAATAATTTTTCCCACAGCAATCCAGAATAGATTAATATTACCAGCCACAGATAGGGAGAGCTGACCTATAGTGGTTTGTCAACTTCCCCTTCATTCCTTGTTAGCAGCAGACAAACTTTGAGTGAATATGTGGCCTCACTTCTTTAAAAGTCAAAAGTTGCAGTGGACAGAATAATGGGTGCAGTCACATACAGGGTCAAGATTTTGGGAATTTTAACTGTTTTTCTTGAAGGCCAATCAAGATATACATCCATGCCTGCTGCCAGATGCAGCCACCTGTCCACAAGTCGCTTACTCCTACTCTGTGTAAACTATAATGCTCAGAAGTCTAATAAAACTTACATGCCAGGGTCAAACTTTGTGTTATCAATCCACTTCCACTGTCCAATGAAATTTCTTAGGCCAATGAAGTAATCTGAATTTCGTGTTCTGCTGTTCAGGAATGCCTGGATAGGATACACAGGATCAAAATGTTACAAAATATAGTGACATCAAATTCTGTTATGGACCTAATTTGCATACAAATTGCATCAAGAAACCATGCATCAACAAAGATGATACCTTATGCATTACAGATAGTCCTTGACTTACTTTAATTGAGTCCGCAATTATGATTGTAAGTTGTGATGAGTTATCACATGACCTTGCCTGATTTTGTTATCTTCTTTGCAGTTGTTATTAAGAGAATGTGGCAATTGTAAAGCAACAACATAATTGCTAAGTGAACTCTGTAGTTGTTAAGCAAATCCACCTCTGGCTATAGGGCATTTTTTTGACATAAAATAGAAGAAAATGCTGGTTTCTGGCAAAAAGGTTTCAAATCACAATCACATGATTGTAAATGTGGGCCAGTTGTTGAGTGCCCAAAATACAGTCATGTGACTGTGGGGAGAGGAGTCTTTAGAACTGGGTTATAAGTACCTTTTTCAGTATCATCATAAGTTTAGATCTTTCTGTACAAAAGCTTCTATTTCAAATAAATACAAGGGATTCCTTGTAGGTTTCAATATAATATCACTTTTAAGCTCTCTGGAATTGGGCCAATCAAATGCATACTCTTTAAGGAAAGAAAATAGAAACAAATTTGCATTAAATAAAATCAAAACAGGTCTACGAAAGAGGGAATTAAAAGCATTTTAATTTCAAGATCTTTCTCATACACACAGTATTTGTGAAAGTCATTTCCTCACAATAGCTGAAGAGAACGGTCTTCCAAATTGTCCTGTTCTACTTTTAGAATGTTTTAACACTGGTTATACCTCCACTTTTCCTCAACTCAAAGGGAAAAGAATAGAAATTTTAAAAAATTACCTCACCAGCACTTCAAAAAGATTTTGCTTATTGCTTTCTTCTAGGCTTAAACCCTGCAATTTGTGTAGCTATTTTTCAGAGGCAAAAATACTCTCTCGCCTAAGGGAATAGTTGCCATGGTCTCTAAGGTCTAGAACAGCTTTTAAAATTAGTTTCATAATAGTTGCTTAATATCTGGAATGTTGCTGGTTCAAAACTTACCTCAAATACATATGTGTGTTTTTAAATTACTATTTTTATTTTCCTGAGCTACTTTCTTTTCACAGGGCTTTCTTCTTTAAAATAGGTCCAGTGGTGCACCATTACATTGTTTTTTCTGGTCACCTGAGGTAATTTTATCTCAGGTGACTGTAAAAATGATGAAACAAGGCACTGTTGGAATTTAAAAAGTGAAAAAATAGTACAGGTAGTCCTTGACTTACAACAGTTCACTTAATGATGGTTCGAAGTTACAACGTCACTGAAAAAAGTGATTTATGACCATTTCTCACACTTACGATTATTGCAGCATCCCCATGGTCACATGATCAAAATTCAGACACTTGGCAACCGACTCATGTTTATGACAGTTGCAGTGTCCTGCATGTGATCACTTTTTGAGACCTTTTGACAAGCAAAGTCAATGAGGAAACCAGTTTCACTTTAACAACCGTGTTACTAATTACCAACTGCAGTGATTCACTTAACAATTGTGGCATAAAATGGGCAAAACTCACTTAACAAATTAACAAACAGAAATTTTGGACTCAGTTGTGGTCGTAAGTTGAGGAGTATCTATACTTCAGAGAAAGAAATAATATTTTTTAAAAATGCTTCAGACCCAAATTATATACTTTGCTAGCTGTTGCCAAAGTAACTCTGTCTGGACAGATTTTCTTAAACTAAACTAAAATCAAACAGGCATGAGCAAAAGGGAGGCTTAAGGCTTTGCTGCAACTGTGCCCTGATTTCCATTTAAAGCTAAGTTGTTTGCCCGGGGAGGGGGACAGTTACACATTATTTTATGGAAGTGTAATCAATTTTAAATGTTCCAAAATACTTGCTATTTTTTTTGGTTTACTATCCGCTCTATCTACTCACCAGTTCTGCTTTGTTGTTGATAATAGCAAGATGAGAATTTAACTGGGCACATTCTTTTTGGCTCTCGTCCCATGTTTTTTGCACAGTAGAAAAGTAGTAGCACTTCCCTTCATACAGAGTCCATCTTAAGGGGCAGCCTAAAGAATATGGGAAAATGGCTTCAGTGCATTCCAGGGAGGAGAATTCCCTTCTTCCCTGGTGGGCATTCACACTGCAAACTCACTGGTTTTTCCTGGTGAGGTGATTTTGGGAACTTCTGAGAAGATCTGTGAAACTGAATACAGATGATTCTTAATACAAGCAAGCATTTAAAAAGCTATCAAGGTCATTCACAAAAAAATGCTCACTAAATTCCAGCCCATCTACTCCCTCCCAGCTATATTATCCTTCTCATATAAAAAGTGAGAATTTCCTTTCAAGATCCATAAAAACTTCCCATGCTAGTTAAAAGACTGATGGAAATGATGTATAACTTGTTCTAACAGAACATTGAAGTTTGAATATGATTTAATATAATATAATAAAAGGAAGCATTATTAATCATTATTCTCCAAAATTAGAAGATTGATAATAAAAAAGTCAATGTAATACATACTATATACAAAGAACAAAGAAGTTCCTATTAGCTTAATAGCCAAAGTTGGTACTAGTGTACTGATGAGTTTCCAATTCATATTAGTCTGTACTTTAGATGCAAAACACCAAGATATTTTCTTTTTGCATAACTGAAATCGTCAGTTATGACTCAGACTTTTCTTGAATCTGAAATATAAAGTGAGCAATGTAAGATTAAATACAGTATAGGACAGTGGTGGCGAACCTATGGCACGGGTGCCAGAGGTGGCACTCAGAGCCCTCTCTGTGGGCACGCGCGCTGTCGCCCCAGTCCTAGGCCTTCAGCTGGGTTTTATAAAACCTTTTCGCTTTAGGCCTCCGCTGCCGTGTGCAAAAAAAAAAAAAAGGTTCAATAAATCAGTCAATTTCAACTTCTTGCGGGAAAAAAAAAGATCTTGCAAAGTTGGAATTGATTGATTGAACTTTTTAGTCCCACCCAGTCTGCCGTTACCACCGCAGCCATGCCCAGCCAATGGGCCACACCCCCCAATTGGCCACACCCAGCCAATGGGCCACACCCACCCGGCACCCGACAATGCATAAGTGGGTTTTGGGTTGCAGTTTGGGACTTGGTCTCTAAAAGGTTCGCCATCACTGGTATAGGACTTAGTACTACAAGGTCAGCTAAATATTACTAAATTAGTAAATGGAAATAAAATGTTTACTTAGTAAACTGATAATGACTGCATGCAGAATATGAATTGTACAATTTCTGAACTTCCTTTCCCATTTATTTTATTCCAGGTTTATTGTTTCTCTGTATAGTTGATGAACAGAAATGTACAAGACTTAGGGTTATTCCTCACAAAAGTTAGTGAGGAATAGTGTGCATTTCTCCAGGTTTTGACTCAGCAAAAAAGTATACATGTTTAAATTTTGTGGCCACCATAGCCCTGTTCTGCCTCAGTAACAAGGTCAGCAATGGGGTAGGGAAGGGTGGGATAAGCATAGGCAAATCCCTGGGAAGGAGGCTCCAGTCACCTTGCAGATGGCCTGATTGCTGAAATGCAGCAGTGTACCTGACCCTCAAGGCTGCAGAGTAGTTGCAGGCATGGAGGGCAGATGGGGGCCAAGGGGGAAGGAAGTTTATTTTTCATTTCTCCTTTATTCTCCTTTATATAAAGGAATCTGCCAGGTGTTCAAAAAAATGAAAAGAAAAAACATAGCTCTACAGCACCAGACTCTATTTCTTTTATATCTCTCCAAAATGAGATTGTCTGCTGCCTTCCCCCCTCCCCCTACCACTTGCTCTTCTTTCATTATGTGTGTTTGTGTTAGATGGGGAGAAAGTGAGCTTTTTGCACCAACCAACTGGCCTTAAACCAGCCCAGTGTGGAGAAAGATGGGCTTCTTGACAAGCAGCTCCAACCACAACTTGTAATATTGGAGACTCCATCATCCTGACCTGCCAAGATGCAGGATGTGCTGTCATTTGGGAAGGCCACACCTAGTAGGCAATGCCTTCTCAAGCTCTTGTTCTTGAAAGGTCATTGCCCTTTTTCTTCTTGTTATCACCTTTCTCAAGCCAAGAAAGCCACAATTGCCAGTCATAGGCTTTAATAGTTTTTTGCTCATCAATGGAAACCCTTGGGCATGGTTCCAAGCCAGAGGGCAAAGAATGTCATGCAGAAAGGAGGCATTCTTTGAGGGAATCCCACAGGTAACTCTGCCTATATATCCCCAGTCCCACAACTGCCCTTTTCATCTCAAAATCCCTCTTTGCTCTTCCTCCCCCACCCCCACCCATCTTCTGCCTCATCTCATTGTTTCCTTTCCCAATGACGTGGTTATGTGTTAAGCAAGCCTTCCCTTTCCTCCATTCTTCATGTCTTGCTCAACTGTGGCTGGTTGTTACAGGAAGCATGCTTCCTTTCTTCTTCCTACCTTTGCCAGATTTGCTGAGCTCTAGAATTGTGGTTTTTGACAAGCATGCACTCCTACATCCAACGACAGAGCAGAAGGAACAGGAAAGCTGGGGGAGAAAATGATAAAAATGAAGTAGGGAGAGAAGACAGACTGAGATGGGGTTTGCCAATGAACCAAAGTCATTGACAGTGTCTTCTCTCCCAGCAAAACAAGTTAAACCAAACCAAACCCATGCACATACTTATACATGTATCCAGTCTCTCTGGAAGCCCATGCCCAATGCCAGGCAATTGAATGGGAAGGGACATGTCCAAGCAGCCTCAAGTGCCAGTAAAAATCTGGGCACATCCATGTCCCTATTCATCTCTCAGCACCTCATCAAGCAAGTGTAGCAGCTCAAGCCCATGACCAAAGTTTTATCAGGAGAAGAACAGCTTTAAAACTAGAACAGTTAAATAGGAAATTAAACTGCCTCCACTGTGTGATAGCTTAAATTGTTATGTCACGAGGACCTGTATTTCAAATCCAGTTGTTAGGGAGAGGAGGTGGGTTGAGCCTTTAATATATGTTTCTATAGGAGTCAAGCAAAAGGAGTGTGATTAATTCCTTATGTTGTATCTGGTCCAGTGTTATAGTTACAGCTATTTCAGGCATCAAGTGATTGTATGGGATCTACTTGCCACATTGTTGTTGATGGTGAGGAATCAGTCCCAATTAGAAGGGCAGACAAGAAGAGGAGAAGGAACAATTCTAAATTAGCATCACAAACATAAAGAGCTACTGAAACCCTGTACTTAGATAGGCAAATCCATCCATGTTACTTCCTCTTACATTCAAATCCATTATGGAATTTGTTAACAAATTATAAATCTAGTCCAATCAAATTGTCCCTCATTCCATTCTGAATGGAAGAATTACATAGCCATGTCAAGTCAATTGAACATGAATCCCAAAGAAATCTCTGGAATCTGAGTCATGATTAATTGTTATAAACCAATCTGGGTTAGAGAAAAAGAAACAAAATAAGCTTACTTGAGAGCAAATGAGATACTGCTTCTGTTTTCTTCCACAGTGGGCCATAGAATTCTTTCTCTCTGTGCCTAAGAAGACTTAATTATGTTATTTCTCCCTTAAGGGAATCTTACTTCCTTTTCTCATTTGCTTCACTTGGATGTGTTTCACTTCTTCATTTCTTCATATAGCTGTGGAAATTGTCTCTGCTGGTTAGATTACACAGCTGCCTTTCTTAAGATATACAACCACACTTTTTCTTTTATAAGCTGGTATGTGTGGGTATCTACGTTCATATGACATCACTGTTGAGAATATAATTGGAAGAATGTTTTTTGTTCTCCTCCTCCCATTTTAACCTCACAATAACCCTGTTAGGTGATTTGGGCTCAGAGAAGAAAAATGACCCAAGTGAACTTGATGGATATTTGGAGATCTGAACTTGGTCCTGATCAGCTTTTTGAAGGTCAGAGTTTATTTAGCTTCTTTCTAAATGTTAGAAAGATGTCAATTTAAGATAGATGGCTGAAACAGGGAGGAATTGCTGTGCCATCTCAAGAAAAGAGGCAGGTAAAAATAGTTAGGACAAAATAGGGTGGATGCAATGAAAATATAGGCATATTGATGTGCTGGCAAGAGAAAGTGTATCATTCAAGAGACAATTCAGCAACCCCCCCCTCCCCATTTGGATGGAGTGGCAGCTGTTTCAATAATGAAGCAATTGAGGAACATTTGTATTTATTAAACACCTACATGTTTGCATGTCCATATAGATATAATTCAATCTTCATGCACAAATTGGGGTGAGGGACAGCAGAGGGATTGATTGCTTTAATGGTGAACCTACAACTTCAATAGGAAAGTATTTTTTATAGAAGAGCACACGCCCAGCCTGCCCCCTAGTGATTCTGCCTGAAAACTAGTGATTAGGAAAGCAATTTCCAAGTACAGTAAAGAAGACAGAAACATTTGCATGTATCAGAAAAAAATCATGTTTGATTGTCATAATCAGGTATCTGCCTTTTTTTAAATAAACAAAGTCTTAATCAGATGACATTTTCTTACTCTAAACATACATATTCAAAAAATATACTAATAATATATTATAATTTGTTGGACAATAAATTATTTTGTTGGTGAAATATGAAAGTAAATCTTATTTTAATTACAACATTTATAAAGTAATTATTATTAAAGATCTTAAAATTACCACTATTAATATATTGGATCCTGGAAATTTTAAGAAAAATTATAAATGCTCTTGGGCTATTTCATTCCTATTGCAAAAAAAAATTGGAATTTTTGTTTTGTTTTTACCAAACTAATTAGACATTATTATATATTTTAATTCCACTTTTTTCTAGTAGATTTTATTGCTAGTGATACAGTAAATGGCAAACCCAATCCTTTGCTTCACATTTCAAAAAGTTCAAAGAATTTCCATTTCTGTAATATTCAATATTCTATTGCATCATTACTAATCATTTTCTCTGTTTTAATATACTTAATTACAGTATGTGTTGGGTTCCTGTATAACTTTATTTTACTGAAGACAAGGGGAAAGAACATCTGCTTGGTGGCTTCAGTATTCTGCAGTGTATTTAAACATGAAAGAGAGAAACAGAGATCTACAATTTAAGGAACAAACCGGTTTATCATTTTCACCCTGAAATATGCAACCACGTATACTGATCGTTCTCTGAGAATATGCCTTTCCTTATAACTGGATTCCAAGGAGTACTGAAACAGAGTTCCCAGCTGTGATTCTAATCAAACCCACCCTCTTCATTCGCTTATCGCCACTAGAAATCACAATGTATTGCTTCCTTTCTCTGAGATTTCAAACTGGATTTGCTCCATAATATATTATTTCCCAATTACCCAGTTGAATATCACAGTCTGAAAGTGATGGGGCAATTAGAGGCATGATTCTTGCCATTTAATAGCAAGCTGGTCAGTCCTAAAGCTGGAACTGTGCTGCAGAAAACCATGCACATAACCGCTTGGGCAATATTAATTCCCCAGGTAAGGCAGGAAGGCTTTGATGCTGAACCTTGGTGTGACCCTTTCACTTGCTATCCCTACATGCATAATAGAGTGGGGAGGAAATACCCAGGGCTTTTTTTCTCACAGAACGCCCAGAACGGAGTTCTGGCACCTTTTTGGGATGGAACCTTGTAGGGTAGGCAAGGTGGGTTGTATGACATGTGTGAGTTCCGGCACCTTTTTTTTTTTTTTTTTTTAGAAAAAAAGCACTGGAAATACCAATGATTAGGCAAACGAAATACAATAGACTAGCAATGTATTCAGAGCAGACAGCAACATTCAAAATTAAGAAATTGTTTTGTAGTCTTCCCTAACAAGATTCTTCCAGATGAGTTAGGCCAGTTCCCACAACTCCATGACAGCATGGCATCATCCAGGTTGCGGAAAACTGCTTGACAAGTCCTCTTCTTTGGGCAAATAATTTCTTGTTTCAGCTGTGGATGTTATTACTGTAGGTTATCCCAGACTCCTTTCTAATGGTCTTCTAATAAGGGCTTCATCCAGTGGTGGGATTCAAATATGTGAACAACTGGTTCTCATTGTGGATGCCACTTCCAGAAGTCCATTCTGGGCCTGGGCAATAAAAAAATAGCTACTGGTTCTGCCGAACTGGTGCGAACTGGCTGAATCCCACCACTGGCTTCATCTTCTTGCTTGCCTTCCTGGCCTACTGCATACTTCCCTCCATGTAGATACTGTTCCATTAAGGACTACACGTTGAATGCGGTTGGTCAGCCAGTTACAAATCCATCTGGTGGTGATGCTCTCTAACCCACATTTTTCTATCAAGTTGTAGGTTGTGGTCTACTTTGTCAAATGCCTTTCTGAAGTGGAAGTAAATTATATCTACATCATTTCGCTGGATCACTAGTTTTGTCACCAAGACTCTATTTTGACTTTGTTCTACTGATTGCATAATGGTGAACATCATGGACAAATCAAGATATCATCAGATTTGTCTTGGTAAAAAATAGAACAAAATACAGGTAGTCCTCAACTTACAATCATTAGTGAGTGTTCAAAGTTACAATGGCACTGAAAAAAGTGACCATTTTCACACTTTCACACAGCATCCCCATGGTCACCTGATCAAAATTTGGATGCTTGCTAACTGGCTTATATTTATAACAGTTACATTGTGCTCTCCTTTTGCAACCTCCTGACAAGCAAAGTCAATGGGGAAGCCAGATTCACTTACAACCGTGTTACTAACTTATCAACTGCAGTGATTCCCTTAACAACTGTGGCAAGAAAGGTCATGAAATGGGGCAAAACTCACTTAAAACCTGTCTTGCTTAGCAACATAAAGGTTGGGCTCAGTTGTGGTGGTAGGTCAAGAACTACCTGTAGGGTGGATGCAGAGGAGCAGTGAAAATATAGACATATTGATATACTGGCAACAGAAAGTGTTATCATTCAGGAGAGAATTCAGCACTCCCCATTTGGATGGACTGGTAGGTGTTTGAATAATGAAGCAATTGAGGAACACTTGTATTATTAAACACCTGCATGTCCATATAGGTATAGCTCAATCTTCATGCAGAAATTGGGGTGAGGGACAGCAGAGGGACTGATAACTTTAATGTCCAACCGACAACCTGAATACAAGAGACAGTCTTTAATTTTTATCAAAGGAGCACAGACCCAGTGATTTGGAAGGCAACTTACAAGCATACTAAAGAAGACAGAAACATTTGCATGTATCAGATAAAAATTTATGTTTGATTGTAATAATCAGGTATCTGTATTTTTAATCATATGAGCATTTTCATACTGAATATACATCTATCTATTTAAAAAATTCTTAACAGTGTAATAATTTTAGGATGATAAAAATTATATAAAATATAAAAGTAAATCTTATTTTAATCACAACATTTATAAATAAATTATTATTAAAGATATTGGATTTTGGATATGTTAAGAAAAAGTAGAAATGCTCTTGTGTCATTTCATTACTATTGCAAAGAAATTGGAAAAAATGTTTTTGTTCTTAACACACTAAGTAGATATTATTTTTATTATATGTTAATTTTACCTTTTTTATTCTAGTGGAAACTTCAAAATAAAATTTAATTGCTAATGATAGAGTAAATGGCAAATCCAATCCTTTGTTTCACATATCAAAATACCTCAAACTGTGAGAATTCTGTGTTCCGTTTATATAACATTCATTATTCTATGACCTTTCTATCAGTCATTTGATTCATTTTAATATATTTAAATATCCTATGTGTTAGGTTCATGTATACATTCATTTTCATTGAAGTCAAGGGCAAACTTGACTGCTCCACTTCCTTGGGCATATTGTTTCTTGTTTCAGCTGTGGATGTTATTACTGTGGGTTACCCCAGACTCCTTTCTAATAGTCTTCCAATGTTCTTGCTTGCCTTCCCAGACAATCAATGTAAGGCACATGGTTGAACACAAGAGAATACACTGTTCTTTAACAAGGTATCTTCCATATATTCAAACCTCCCAGATAGCAAGGAGTTTGGCTATGCTGCCTGGGAAATCTGGGAATCCCAATCCAGATACATCTGGAAGATATCAGGTTGAGGCAGTCTGCTATAAAATTCACTGGCTGCCCACATTTGCCCTGGGCTCTTATCCTCTGCTTACCCCATGACAGACGCCCCATTTCTTTCCAGAGTCAAATTATATGGCAGGATTGAAAAGAAGGATAGGTCCTCTCTAAATTCCAGGTGATATATTTGGGCCTCTCCCCAGTGCTGGTTGGCTTCTTTCAGCTTTGAACTTCACGCACACAGCAGTAAAAAGCGGTTGGAGATAGACTCCCAGCAATTGGCATGGGATGCTCAGAATTCATATCAGAGGGGGGGGGGGTAAAGGGGGAGATGAGAAGCCAAGCAAACCCCCAAATTATGAACAGCAGGCTAAGAGGTGCTAACAGTTTTGGAAACCACATCTGGAATTGCTTTGTACTTGGTGTGCAAGTAAGGTGGTTGAGGTGTCGTAATTACATCTCTTGGACTCAACTTGCAGGGTCCTGGTTCAGGAACTTCAATATCACGAATGAAACCAGTTTCGTTTACCATCACCTCCTGCAAGTAAAGAAGAAAAATGTTCAAGATAGACAATACCTTCTTGTTGGGCCTTGCCCGTCTTCTTAGTGAAAGGATTCTTTTTATATATATACATACATACGGTACATATGTATATATATATATATATATATATATATATATATATATATATATATATATATATATATATATATATATATATATATATATATATATATATATATATATATATATATATATATATATATATATATATATATATATATATATATATATATATATATATATATATAATTAGATTTTATAAGGATAAAGGGGAAGTGGGGTCAATAAGGGTATAACAAGGGGGTGACAAACAAAAAGGGTTAGACCAGGGGAAGGGATAGGTACAATAGTGGGGTTGTCCCCCCACAATAAGTCAACACACTTCAGCAAGTAAACCCGTCTGGGTATACATATTCAATCATAATAATTAATATAAAATAAGAATACTTAACATAATATTACTAATATATTACTAATTAATCATGATAACTTTAACACATTAATATATTACTTACCGTATTAGTTATAGTTACTTATTGTTAAAATCACAAATAGAAAAAAGAAGAATTCATAGAAATAGACATACAATTTAAATACAAAATAACAATTATCCCATTGAATTTCATAACCTTTTCTCATTCTATCGTGTTGCTACCCATTCGTAACCTTTCTATGCCATGGACTATTCTGAGAGCTTCAAGAAACCTGCAACACTTTGGTCAGAAGAATGTATTTAAGTCCATAAAACTTGTTTATAATAAGACCCATGTATATTACTATATTACATTATGTATATGTATATGATTTGTTATAATAATATATGCATATTTTGTTAGAAAGGAAACCCCTCATGCTCAATTATAGTTATCAAATTATTAAAAAATAACAAGTAATAGTAATATATATGCTTGTGATTTGTTAAACCACCTACAAGACAAGGTAAATTTCAATTAGAGATTAGTGAAAGTATTTTTTTTTTCATCCTAGTCAAAGGACCCCTGGCTAAGGGCCCCAGCCTTTGGGCAAGACAAGGTCATTATTTTTTCTTGGTGAAATCAGAATAGACAGACATAATTTAAATAAAAACTACTAGTGAGAGGAATTATTTCAATACTCTGCTTACTCCAGTTTTTTTTATTTCTAGGGAAATGTGATGCTGGAACTGAACAGAGTGTGATGTCTGATCTAAATATTTATAAATGTTCTGGCAGATAACCATCTTTGTATAAAAAAGATCTTTCCAAGGAGATGAATGGAACGTAGAAGAATATACTTCTAAAAATGACTTGAAAATGGGTTGGAACCCAACCAATTCAATGGAAGACTTGGAGCTAGAAGGTCATACATGTCATTGACTTATCTATCTATAATTGAAAGAAAGGTTTACTATGGATTAAAAAAAAAGAATACACTACATCTTTTTTCTGTCCCAATTTTCAATGGCTACTATGTCAGAACCTAAAGAGGGATTTTTAATCTAGTAGAAGAAAGATGTTGAGCAAGAAATGAATTAAGGCAGTCAAGTGTGGAAGACCATCCAAAGAGGAGAATGAATGAAGGACTAGAAAAGAATGGGAAAAAGTGGCTACTCAGACGCCTCATAAATGCTTTTAAATTACCTGGTCTATTTTTGGTTTGAGCTATACAATAGGTGGCCTTTGTGCTCCCTTTGATGGGAGTTGAGACTGACAATATGGAAACTTCAGTTGCCTGAAGTTTGGAAAGATGCTCCCTAATTGACTGGTATTCTTCATACCATGTTCAGAATAAAGAGAGATTGAAAAGTATAAGCCTCACGGAGATTCAAGATTAGCTATCTGTTGTTCCATTTCTAGATTTTCCAGTTGAGTCTATGGTAACTCGCCATGACAAACTTGTTACTGCCAACTTCCAGCGGCTAACTCAGCGAACTCGCTGCAGCCAACTCGCAGCGGAACAACTTGCCATGGCTAACTTGCTGCAAGACAACTTGCTGTGGACATGTGTTACACTAATATTGAAGAAATGGAATAAAATTATTTAAAAAAAGGATGCAAAAGGAGGCACAAAATGAAATGTGAACGACAAAAATCAAAATATTTTAAAAAATATTTTAAATAATTAAATTGAATTGTTGAATTGTCCCGTGATGAGTTGGACTGCAGCAAGATGTCCCATTCCATTTCCAGTTCAACCATTGTATTTCCTCCAGTATTTAAAGCCTACTTACATCAATGTTTTTTATGTTAACAATCTGAGGTGCTTCTTTGCATGCTTTCTCTGCTTTCTTGATAGTTTCATTGTCCCATTGTACAGAACTGATGGCCATCATTCCTTCTGTTGGACTGCAGGGTGAAATTACAACACAGGGAGTTGTCTACAGATACCAAGATGAGACACGGAGACAAAAAAAGCTGTATCCCCAAAAGCTAACTTTGGGCGAAAACAGAAAACTAATCGAGGATAACAACCTGGCTAATGATTAGGAATAATGGGTGTGTAATTAAATACAGTCTGCCAGATTCCATTCAAATTACAACCAGAATATTTGGGAATGCTTATTTTTACCCCATAGCAGTACTGGACTGGTTTTTTCAGTCTCAAAGTTGCATCGGGGGCTATGTGTACAGTAGTGGCCAAAATTGTGGAAACCTTTTGGGAAAAGTGTATTTTTGAGGTTTGATGGCTAATAATACCACTTTTTTTGGAGTAGTACCATAAAATTATAAATCAATGGAAAGATAATTTAATCAGGAATGTAATGCAACATAATTTGTTCAATTATTTGTACTGTATTCTATGAAAAGTTATAGCCAAATAACCAGAAAAAGGAAGCACAACTTGCTTAGGTTGATATCAGGTAGCTTTTCTTCGTCTGATTGTAGCCAATGAGCATGAGTGTTTAGAGAGCCAATCAGGTGTCATCTTGTTTTGGCAATGAGCCAATCAGATCAAGTAGGATTCAGTTATTGATGTCATGTATTGAAGCTGAGAGGAGGACATTTGTCAGTGTGTTATGTGATCGCTATCAAGTTGGTTGGGTTTTTTTGTGTTCTTTCATTTAGTGAGCTTGTAAAACATAATAAAATTAAAGTAATGGTGCAAAGAGCTGACTGGTTGCCCAGAAAGCGATGTAAAATAGTATTATTAAGTGAACAAGGCTACAGTTATAAAGAAATTAGAAGAAAAAATTGGTGGAAACTTAACCAAAGGTGGCATTTCTACTGTACATTTTCCCCAAAAGGTTTCCACAACTTTGGCCACTACAGGAAGTTGAGGGAGACCTTCTACAAAACATGTTTGAGATGATGGGTATATTTTGCCATTGAAAAGCATGCTGGGGGCACACACACACACACACACACACACACACACACAATTGGGCAGGGGATAGGACAACAATTTGACTTAATTTGATTTCAGTGAATTAAATAAGCAAAATATAGATCAAGTTGATGTCTCCACCCTGATGATCCAGGTTTTATAATCCTGCTATATGGAGATTCACCTATACTGATATATAAGTGTGTATCATTTGCACAAATCACACATGCTTCCTTAGGATGCTTCCCTTCCAGATCTGTGCTGATTAGTTTTTCTGCTGGCATCCCATAGCCCTACTAAGCATCAGAGAAGATGGAGGATTTTGCATTCCATAAGTGGAGTGGTGACAAGTTGCCCAGAGTGTTTTGTGACATTATGATGCTTCAGTAGCAAGCCATTCCTCACACATTCTCCAACTATGCCATCCAAGCAACTTTGTTCCCTAGGCCTAGCCTGAAGCACTCACTCATTTGCCTCCTGTCCAAGCTGATTGGCAACATATTGAATGTCTGGGAGTCCTAGGCAGCTGGAGATGTTGTTGCGAGGATAGTAGAAGAGGAATAGTAGGCACATTTCATTCAGGGTACTTGGGCCTCCCTGAGAGAAATCAATAAATAATAAACAATATTTGTTTGAGGTTCAGTGGAAGATCACTAATTATGCAGGAGCTTCACTTTAGCTTAAACTGAAAACCTTTGTTGTGGGAATAAGGTTAGAACATATAACATAGAGCAGGGGTCCCCAACCTGTGGGCTGTGGCCCACTACCTGGCCATGGCCTCTTGGCCAGCAGGCTGTGTAAGTAGTTGGGCAGGTAATAATCTATCCCAGGTAATAATAATAAGAGGTTAAATATGGCTTCCTGTAACTCTTAGTCTTCTCTGGCAATTCCAACTGGACAATACACCAATTCTCCAATAGCAATCCCACACTGGAACTACCATTCCCCTGAGTCCTGACTTTTGCTTTATGATTTTCTTTCTCTTAAAAGAGAATGCTGAAAATGTTATTCCATCTTCCTAGCCCATTAATGGCAAGTTATTAACAGGCATTCTGGACCCTGGAAGCTATTACTAAAATATTTGTATATTACAGGATGAACCTGATTTTATTTTCAAAAACTGTCTATCCACCACTCTGTCTATCCTAAGTATTCAGAGTAGACTTACAAAGACTGTATCTGTCCGATCTGTAGTTTGATAGTGGCACTCCACCAGGAATTCATCTCCCTGTGAACAAAGCAGTCAACTTTATCACAAATCTGAGAGAATATGGGGTCTCAATAATAAGGAGCTTATTGCCTAACCCTAACTCAAATAGATATCTTAGAATGACATACTGGTTTGAAAATAATAGTCTTCTTCAAGTCTCTTGTCTCCTGAAGATTGAAATCATATTTATTGTCTTCACAGAGCATCCTCAATTGTTTTCCATTCCTGTACATAGAGACAATATCAGTGAGACAGAACATTGCTCATGCCACAGAGAGGGATCTGTTTGGGGTACAAAAGCAACCATGATCTAATAATTTCCTGACAAATGTTTCCATGGTCACTGTAGCTCAAATGTTAATGTATCTGTTTCTTCATAGGACTAGGGAAATGAATTTTATGCTGTATCTTCACATTATCCTTGACTCCATAAAGTACAAAGCCTCTTTTGTTAGGTAATTGGCTGTTCTCTTTGGAGTAATCTGGGCTGTTTCAGAAGGCATGGGGAACTTTCTAAGGCATGGGTCAGTGCCAGGGTGGTGCCCCCCCCCAGTCCTCTGTTGAGGAAAAAGAGAGTCAATGTCTGCAGGAGTAGGATCTGAATGAGGCTGAGGAACCCCAGCTACTTTTTAAGGGAAAATTTGTGGCAAAAGTTTCTGGATTAGAAACAGTGAGATAGTTAGAATCAGGGCCTCATCCTGGTTTTAAAGAATGAGGTTAATATAGGTTGAAGGAATTCAGGAAGCAAAGGCCAAAGCTGAGAGTAAACACTGTTAGGAGCATCTATGGCTTGTTATCCACCAAGCAACTATCAGCCAAGTAACTCTTGGCTGATCAGGCTCCTAAAGGGAAACACTCAACCTGCAACCTGTGCTGCTTACAACTGCTTTCTTTGGTTGGACTATGTGAATATGCCCCCTGTTTTGTCGCTTGGGCACTAGATCCCTGGAGTGTTCCATGTCCACTTTGTTTTTCCTACCCCTTGAGTATGAGCACCGCCAAGAACATTATAGCTATGTGGACAACAATGATTTCATAAAGATTTTTTCTATTTTGGTTTTTGTGTTTATATTTGACAAGACCACTGGCTTTGTGCCAACAAATGTACAACTCTCTCAGCCATAAAAATGGATAGCCAACGTTCTTCAGTTTTTGCTTCCAAGCCATTCTCATATTGTTGAGTTGAGTGGGAGAAAGCTGTTGCTGTCATGCTATATTTGGCCTAGAAATTTTGCTTACCGGTATTGGACACCTCGCAGTCCCCTTCCAGCTAGATGGGTATGGAGTAAATAACCGAAGACATGCATATCTGGCACTGGACTCCCATTGATCTGGAGAAAAAAAAGAGATGAACTAGTTTTAGACTGAACTCATGCCTCATGCCTGGAGCAAAGGGACTGCAACAGCCATTCAACATTTTCTATTTTTTTCAGACTAATGCTTGACAAGGCAAATGACCCAGGTTGTTAATAGCCTTTGTTTGTATTTTTCCTGTTATACTTTATTGTGATTTCATATGTTCATTACTGCTTGTTTGGTTTGTCTTAAATATTGTGATTTTGCTTATTGTTCTTTATCTGTGGTTTGTTGCAGCATAGCTTTTACTGCATTGTTTTGACATCAACTTTACCCACCATGGCTTCCCAGCAATGTCAGATCTATCCTACCTACTTCTTCACCTTGCTTCACCTCCTGCCCTCCTGGGACCACTGCCTGCCTCCCAGATGAGCTGCCTTTTGGCTTCTGGTGGTAGTGATAGACAGCACCACCACCAGCCGGGTTTGTAACTGGCTGACATATCATACTCAATGTGTAATCTTCAATCCAGATGGAGTGAAATAAGCAGTGGGGTACCCCAAGGTTTCATTTTAGTCCCAGCACTCTTCAATATCTTCCTAACCTAGACAAGGGAATTGAAAGGGAACTCATCAAATTTACAAATGACACCAAGTTGACAGGAATAGTCAACATCCCAGAAGATAAGCTCAAGATCCAAAAAGATGTTGACCGACTTGAACACTGGGAACTATTTAACAAAATGAAATTCAATGTAGATAAAAGTAAGGTTTTACACTTAGGTAAGAAAAAACAACTATATAGGTATAGACTAGGTGAAACTTGTCTCAAACCCAGTAATTGAGAGAGGGATCTTGAAGTCCTAGTGGACAATCACGTAAATATGAACCAACAGTGTTCATATTTCACCAAAAGCAGCAGCCCCAAAAGCCAATGCAATCCTAAATGCATTAATAGAGGGATAGAATCAAGATCACGTGAAGTTCTAGTACTGCTTTACAAAGCCTTAGTAAGACCACATTTGGAATACTGCATCCAGTTCTGGTCACCACAGTACAAAAAAGATGTTGAAATTATGGAAAGAGTGCAGAGAAGAACAACAAAAATGATTAGGGGGCTGGAGGCGAAAATGTACGAAGAATTACTATAGGAATTGGGTATGTCTAGTCTAATGAAAAGAAGGACTAAGGGTGACATGATAGCAGTGTTCCAATATTTGAGGGGTTCCTAGAAACATCTGTATTTTCTTTTAAATGTCAGGCTCATGGTTTGAGGGTTGAGGAAATTTAATGGTTTTCTTTGGAGTTGCCACCCAGATGACAATAGTGCTCCTTCCCAAGCCTGCTATTAGTTCCAGTGCTCCGGCAACAATAAGGGCTTCCTTTCTGGGATGAAACACAGCTTTGAAGGAGATGAAATTTACTTAGAACAGCAGGAGGAGGAGAGGATAAAACTTCCTTACTCATGTATTCCTCTCAATCCATCACAGTTCTGTTATTAGTCAACAGGCTGACATATTTACCTTCATATCTACTCTGTTCTGAAGGGCCAAACCTAGATGTTTTGCAGAAGACACAAGAATAGTGGCTTGATCTCTTTTAAAACTTATGCACAGCCTTGGGGATTGTGTCTGGAAACAGGAAGAAGAAACAGCTGGAATATTTTTTTTTACTTTCCTATCATTTGGAAAAGTGTTCCCTCTCCCATTTCTTTCCAATGTTTTCCATGGTGAGAGCAAGCAATAAACAATCCTGGTAGCTTTTGCTTAGGAAAGAACTGGAAACCAGCAGGATCACACTGAACCAAGACAACATCAAATCTTTCCACCTCATCTGCCGAACACACTTGGATCACACACATCATTTTTACCAATTCTTTCAGGCAGTTTTATTTCTCTGCCACTTCATTACTCAGACAGTCAGTTTCCTCAGACTGGTTTTCTGACAAGAGGCTTAGGAGGGGCTGTTGTGGAATGTTTTAGGTGGCCTAATATTGAAAGCCAATTTGGTATAGTGCAGTGATGGCAAACCTTTTAGAGACCGAGTGCCCAAACTGCAACCCAAAACCCACTTGTGCATCTTTGGGTGCCAGGTGATGTGGCCCATTGGCTGGGTGTGGCCCATTGGCTGGGTGTGGCCCATTGGCTAGACGTGGCTGCGGTGGTAACAGCAGACTGGGTGGGACTAAAAAGTTCAATCAATCAATTCCAACTTTGCAAGATCTTTTTTTTCCCCACGAGAAGTTGAAATTGACTGATTGATTGAACCTTTTTTTTTTTTGCACACGGCGGTGGAGGCCTAAAGTGAAAAGGTTTTATAAAACCCAGCTGAAGGCCTAGGACTGGGGCGATGGCGCGCGTGCCCACAGAGAGGGCCCTGAGTGCCACCTCTGGCACCCGTGCCATAGATTCGCCACTACTGGTATAGTGTTTAAGATGCTGATGCAGAAACCAGGAGACCATGTGTTCTAGTTCAGCATTAGGCACAAAGTCAGCTGAGTGACTTTGGGCCAGCCAGTGAGCACTAGAAAGAAGGACATGGTGAACCAGTTTTGAAATTTTGCCAAGAAAACTGCAGGGACTACTCCAGGATGTCACCACGAGTCAATGCAGACTTGAAGGTGAAAGAAGGAAAGAAATGGCTGGCCCAAAGACTCTCAGCTCACTTTGTGCCTAATGATGAACTAGAACTCATGGTCTCCTGATTTCTGCACCAGCATCTTAAACACTGCACCAAATTGACTCTCAACAGAAAGAAAGAAAGAAAGAAAGAAAGAAGGAAGGAAGGAAGGAAGGAAGGAAGGAAGGAAGGAAGGAAGGAAGGAAGGAAGGAAGGAAGGAAGGAAGGAAGGAATCCTACCTATCATAGGCTTTTGATAAGAATGAGCACCTGAACTCAACAGTGCAATAAAGATAACCAGAGGTGATTGTGATGGGGTGAGCTAAAGGCTGCCAAGCTTACCTCATGAAAACGACTGGTATTGCAGAAGCCATAAGACATGAAAGAATCTGCTTGAGGGGGGATGAAATGGATGGGAAATGTTAAAATTCCTGTGTGTAGCACCCCCATGTCATATGGACGAAGCTCCGAAGTGTAGAAGAGTCTCAGGCCTGAATTATCAATTAAGCCTCAAGAAAAAGAAATAACAGAATTGAGTGAAACAGCACTTGCGCACTTACCTAAATTTTGTGGGTTCCATTCATCAAGGAACCATACATTAATACATACATTTATTTATCTGAATTTATTAACTGCCCAACTCCAATGGACTCATTCCAGTATTGTATCAGAGACCCAGAATAAGCATCACAGAAACCACTCTTTTTTATGCCTTGCTTACAAATTCCAGCCTGATTAGATGGAATCATAGAAGCTTCTGATTTTCTTATCTATCCATCTTCGAACTGGCTATGCTGCCTCCTGTCACTTAAACAGTCTCCCCCCCCCCCAATATCTCACCTTGGGTAAGATTGCCATTTGAGAAATTATATATCTCTCAAATGAAATTGTAGAGCTTTTGGTATAGTCTTGTTTCTCTTGCTCAGTTTGTCTAACCCTTATGGATATAGGAATCGTACCCTACAGATATTCATTTCTTTTCATCTGGAATTTGAATCTTTGAATCCTGATAACATGTCCTTCTTTCCATTCTGCCTTGGATACCTGTTTGTGCCTCTAATTTTTCCCTTAATCAATTCACATGTACTTTTACTGACCTGGAATTAAATCAAAATTGCTGAAATGAATTTCTAATCGGACCCATTGAGGATCAATTGGCGTCCCTAGAGAGTATCCAGCTTCATCTGGGAACGTGTAGGACTTATTTATGGAAATAGGGTGGAGAGAGAGAGAGAGAGAGAGAGAGAGAGAGAGAGAGAGAGAGAGAGAGTCACTTGACAGTCATGCCACTACATTTCTTGCCAGATGGGAGAGAGCATATTTAATCCTTCAATCACAATGATTGATGTGCTTATCAGGGGAAAAGCCTCAATGTTCTCAGTGGGATTTGCTTTTAAATATATGCATTAGGGTTATAGGAAAAAATGGGAGATTCTCTAGGAATTTGCAATGGTGAATAATACCCTTTGTTACTTGAAAAGAGCTATATAAAAATGATGAAACTGATACTGAAAATATAACAATAGAACTTAGACTTATATACAGCCCATAGTACTTTGTAGCACTCTCTGGACAATTTACAGTGTAAAAGCATTATTTGCACATTGCCACCAACAATCTGGCTCCTCATTTTATTGACTTTGGAAGGATGAGTATCAAACTCCAGGCTGTGGGCAGAGTTTGCTTGCAATACTGCACTTTAACCACTGTGCCACCAGTGCTGTGGTGTGTAGCATAGGATGGGATGTTGGGATCTTGATGTTGTTGAGATTGAAGGCATACAAACTACAACAGCCCTGACCCAGATAGTTAGGAAAAGCTGCATAAAAAGCCAGAAAAGCTCACTCCCTTGTTTCAAAACCCAGATAATATGATTTAATTTGGCAACTGCAAGGAGAAAACCAAGCTGAATAAACCCCATGATCACACTGCACTAGATAGTTCAAAATATTGAGTAATTCCTCCCTCATTCCCCAAAATTGCTATTAAATAAAATCTTAAAAAGCGCAAGAGTGTTCCAAAGATACAATAGGTTTACAAACAACAGTGGGTTAGTTCAATGAGATATAAGGACCATTTAACCTGGTTTAGAAGATCTACATACTCACCCCTCCTCCTACAGCCCAGCCAGCAACTATCTGAGAGCACAGAGAAAAATCAGGATCAGCTCCATAGCAGTCACTGACTCCACTCGGAAGCACGCTTCCATTGCCACAGGCATAGACTAATATGTGGTGCACTGCGGTTATATTCCGAGGTGTTATAATGGGATAAAACTGGATAGAAAAAAAGACAAGGTCAGACCAAGAAGATACCAGCAAGTGAAAAGCTCTTACAGTCTGGGATAATTGTCAATCTCACAAGCAGAACACCCTGCTGGAGTTTCCAGTTACCTTATAAATATGATGTTTTGTCTTGACAATGGGTAAAGGGAGAAAGGTACAGGCGTAGGTGGTCTCCTCCGCTGGGATAGGAAACTGAAAAGGGAAGCCAAGGCACATCGTAAATATCTCAGGCCTGTGTATTCTTACCCTGAAAGAGATTTGCATTGCTCTGTGTGGTCACCAGAGCAAGGAGCCAATGAATGAAAGAGATCAATCTGCTGAGGACCATTGAAGTCTATGGAATGGAAAGGCCCATCAAGAGCTTTTAATTTTAGATACTTACATCAGTTAATTTCAGATCGTACACATGATAGGTACTGGGATTTTTCAGTTCATCTTTAGTTCCCACTAGCATCAAGAAGAGAGATTTGTGGATTATTTTTCCTTTGAAGAAATCAATTGTGTCATTTGTGCCGAATGCAGCCATGAGACGTAGTGTGTCACCCTGCGTAGACACAAATGAAATGGAAAGTCTCCGATCATATCTCTAAATGTTTACCCTCACTGGCAGCCACAAAGAAATAATTCTTCATAACCTTCTTCAACATCTTGAACCATCTTGAACCCCTACTGCAATTGTCTCTTACCAGATTTATACAAATCCTGATACAAATTCATACTAATGTTCTTACAGATTTGTATGATTAAATTCTTTTGTGAGCTTTCTTCTCCCAATTCAGGCATTATTTATGATGAATTAGTAAAGAAAATAATATCCACCCTGGTTCAGATACTGATATACTAACCACATTTAGACTTGATTTTTTGTGGAGATTAATGCATTTGGCCCCCAAACAGAGAATTGAACTGTCGGGGGCAGAGGATTTGCTGAAACAGTGGTCATTTTATGAAACAAACATTTAAGGAGTGTCAATATTAGTTTCAAAGGAGTCTGATTTAGGCACTCTGGCAGGAATGCCTTTGGGTGCTTAGATCAGATCTTCCCCAATCCATATATGGATTGGAGATTGTTAAGTCCGGAGAATAATGGCGAAGGAGGCAATGCATGTTGCTAACAGACCTTTATTCTCACTCTCTTACAGCTAACAACCAACAAGAGCAGAGGCACGCAGGCCTCTATTTATACCCCCAGATCCCCGGGCAATTCCAACCAATAGCAGGCAGTCTTTTCCTGCCTTGCACATGCGCGCAAGGCCGGCGCCGCTCAGTCTGGTCCCGGGCAGCTTTTGCAAATGCCCGGGACTCTTGCATCGTCCCGAGCCTGCTTCTGCAGGCTCAGGACACAACAGAGATGTTACTTCATATGTGTTGGAGGTGTTACTCCTAGGATTCCTAGCCCAGTCTGCCCAAGAGCTGGGAATAATGATTTCAGTGCATAGGCAGGCACTCGGACAGATTTATTTATGGACCTTCTCACTTGGGAGACTGAAGAAACACAAGGAAACTGCAGGCAGAAAACATTTGTAGAGCTCCTCTGTGAAACTGATAGAGCAAAGCATGGCATATTAGAATCCCAGAATACCCTAGAATTAGGAAGAAACTTCCTGTCAATGAGAGAAATTAATCAAAGAGGAGAACCTATACCAGTGATGGCGAATCTTTTAGAGACTGAGTGCCCAAACTGCAACCCAAAACCCACTTATTTATCGCTGGGTGCCAGGTGGGCATGGCTGTGATCATGGCAGATTGGGTGGGTGTGGCCAAGGTGGGCATGGTCACCTCAATGTTACTCGTGGGGAGGGATGCCTGTGGGGGGTGGGCAGGGTTGGGGGAGATCCAGGGGGTCTCTGGTAGGTGGGGCGGTAGGCAGGAGGCTCGTCCTGCGGGGTGAGGCATGGCAGGGCGGGGGCACCATTGCCATGGGGCAGGGCAAGGGGTGGCTGCTGCCTGACACCATTGGCCCCTGCACACAGAGGCCAGTGTGCACATGGGGGGCAACAGTGTCCATCAGCAGCCACAGGCTGCCAGCCCCTTGACCAGCCCACTCTGGAGCTCCGCAGCCCGTTGCCAGCAATTCAAAGAAGCCGCCTCTGAGATGGATGGCTGGCTGATAGCTGAGGAGGCGATGCAGTGGGTCGTGCCCAGGAAAAGGAGAGCATGCAAGGCCAGGAGGGACAGGATGGGGGGGGAGGGAAACCAGCCATGCCGGCATGCATACGGCCACCTGGGACCTCGGCTAGTTAGCAGGTGGCTGGTTGAAGAGGGACAGTTGCCATCTCCGGGGCATGGCGCACGTGCCCACAGAGAGGGCTCTGAGTGCTGCCTCTGGCACGCATGCCATAGGTTCGCCACCACTGACCTATACCATTTCAGATACATACATTCTCTTTTTCCTTTGTAAAAAAAACCCAATAAGATTGTTCTTTCTTTTCATGGTTTTAAAATATAACTATAAATGAATACCACTACCACTAAAGTAAGAGCTTTGTACCTGCTTCAGTGCTGACAAGGTTATATCAGAAGAGGATTTTGGGCTAGTATGGAAACAAAGAATTGTCCCAAGTTAAACACTAGCACTGAGGGGATAGATGAAGTGGAACAATGCATCTATGAAGATATGTGTGCATGTATGGCTTTGGGAGGGATATATGATCACGTCTCAGATTTTTAGTTGTTTTGTTCAGTACTGGGAACGTGGTTTGAGCTCTTTTATTTGCCCTGCAAGTGGCAAAGAGACGGAGTAAAGATGCATATGGAATGGGACAACTCACCAGGGCCAACTTGCTGAGGCCAACTCTCCGCTGACAATTTTCCATGTCCAACTCACCGCAGGAAAACTCAGCATGGGACAACTTGCCACGGCCAACTTGCTGTGGGACAACTCACCATGGGATAATTTAACAATTCAATTTAATTATTTAAAATAATCAAAAAATATTTTAATTTTTGTCGTTCACGTTTCATTTTGTCCCTCCTTTGGCATCCTTTCTTTAATGATTCTATTCCACCATTTCTTCAGTATTAGTGTAACACTTGTCCCATGGCAAGTTGTCCTGTGGTGAGTTGGCCATGGGGAGCTGGCTGAGGTGAATTGTCACAGGCCCATGCCTGGAGGCGCAATCCATCCACATTATTTTATATCTCAAAGAACAACTATCTGCATTTACTAGATGGAGTCTCAAAACAGCTGCTTCCCCTCTGAAAAACATTTCATTTTAAGTGTGATTTCAGACTTTGAATGGACTTCTAAAGATTATTATTCTGCAATTTTTATTGTATTTTGGTAGCACGGCACAAGATGTTTCAATTGTTATTTGTGTTATGCAATAATACTCATCACCTTTATGAGTTAACATCTGAAATGCTCCTTGGTTTTAAAAAGAAGGAAAATATATTAGGTTATCTCAGTGCAACAAGCAAAGGCAGTTCAAACTCCGTTGCAGCAAATTCTTGTTTCTTTGTGTCTTTTGTCTCCGTGTCCTTGCTTGTGCTATTACTTATCATTATGCTAGAAACCAGGGGAGACTCCGAATTCTAGTTCCACCTTTGGAATGAAAGCCGACTGGGTGACTTTGTACCAGTCACTTTCTCTCAACCCAACTCACTTCACAAGGAAGGAGGAGGAAGGGATATTAGGTATGTTTGCTGCCTTGAGTTATTTATAAAAATAATAAAGATGGGATGAAAAATAAAATAAAACAGGTCCCATTGTCTTGCTTACTGTGATGTCCAGGTCATGTTCATCGCATGTCCGGAACGGTCGGCTGAATGCCAGGGTGGTGGACGTTGCATCCTGGGTCAATGATAGCAGCTCATAGTCTTGACTTTCATCCTCCAAGATGGTATTCTCATTCACACCATGCCAATCCTGAGTGAAACAGGAAGAACTCAAAAATATGTTGCGATGGATAGAGGAAGAGACCATTACTTGGATGAGAGACCATTCAGTTGGAGAGACCATCGCCAGAATGAAACTCCCTGGAGACCTTGGGCCAGTCATTATATTACTATCTCATTGATTTTGCTGCAAGATTGCTATAGGTAGGTAGGAGGAAGTAGTGTGTATAATAATTGAATGATTGAATTAAAGTACTGCATCTGGCTATTAATACTGCATCTGGCTATCTGGGATTAGCTTGCATTGATGTGTGTGTGTGTGTGTGTGTGTATATGTATACACACTTTACAAAAACACTTTATTTTGCTAGGGTTAATGGTAAAAAGTAGCCTGTAATTTGGTAGGAAGAAGCTATATCTCTTGTTATTACAATGAAAAAAGTCATCCTGAAACTCAAGAAATAATAATTGGCTCTGAAATTTTGTTGATGTGGTTGGTGGCCCAGACTTTCCATTTCACAAGATTCAGTAATAAAACGAATAGTTTCTGGATATGAAAAAAAAATCCCAAGACAAAATAAATATGGGCATTTCCCTGTCTCTTTTAAAGAAAGAAGGATTTTTTCTTCTTCTCTGTTTTGTTGAGGTTTGGGGGAGCATTGCTTTTCAAGCTCAAATTATGCCTCAAAAATAATTATTTCTGTTTCTTCCAACATAAACTGAGCAAGCCCAAACAGCAAGCCCAAACAGCTATCAGGGATTTATTTATTTATATTTTGCATTTCTGAACCATCCATCTCATGTGGCCCCAGCACTTCATAAGTGATACTGCAGCTATCTCACTGGTCATGTGAAACAATCATCTCTAAATTCATTTGTAACTTCAAATTACAAATTATTCCTCTCCCCTCCTCAATTTTGTACACAGAGCCAAGCTCCTAATGAAATGGTACTCTCGATTTAATCTTACTGAGAAATAGATGTTGCCATCAGGAAGAACACCGCCAAGCACGAAGTCTGCTCCAAGAATCTGCTTATTAATGGTGAAGCCAAAAGCCACCCATCCAGTTGACTGGGCTTGAAACTCAAAAGTCATAATAGCAAGTTCATCATCATAGTCCCATCGGAGGTAATTCTGGTGTTTGGGATCCAGGAACGTAGAGAAACGTAGTCGGGAAACTGCGGGATGGCTGGAGCAAATGCACAAGGTAGACATGAGGAACAGCAGGCTTTTCGTAGATGAATGGTGCATATTTGTGGCATATTGTGCTTTTTTGTTCTCTCTCATATCTTCTGACAGAGCTTTCCTTTAGTAACCACCTTGTGGGGTGGAGGAGGCCCAATTTATATGAAAAACTGGGACCAGCTGGGATCCTTGCCAAAGAGGAAGGACAGCATTTTGGATTCTGCAAGATCAGATTTCAGCCCTGGCATTCTTTCTTCATTTTATGTAATAAAGTGGGCATGCTTCCCAAAAGGCATTGCTTTTATGCCTTTTTTTTTTTCCAGGAGAGAAGGTTCTTCTTGTGTCCAGGGATTGCAAAGTGCACATCTTCCAGAAGCATTTGGGATGACATAACCTCTCCTGAATATGAAAGTGAAGTAGAACATTTCAGTAGTGTGTGAACATTTTGACCACCACTAATTTTGTTGGTGTTTTAATCTGAGGAAAGATAGAGAGGAAAATTCATGCACTATCCAAGCAGTTTTCTATAACTTCCCACTAAGTTACAATGATACTACATGTCTTACATTCTTGTGTATGAACAACAGGTTAAAAAACATATATATTCATCATCACCTAAACAGGCTAATCTGTTGAAAAAAGAGAGAGAGAAAACTGTGAGGAGAACACTTAATCTGTGTCTTTAGCAAAGGATTTCAGTAATTGTCATCCTTGTATTTATTTTGGATTGTCTTTTACCTTGACAAGATCTTTTGGCATCCTGGCTGGTTTTTTTTTATGTCAATTTCCCCATGTTCCCTTCTAAAATATTTATTTATTTATTTATTTATTTGTTTGTTTGTTTGTTTGTTTATTTGTTTGTTTATTTATTTATTTATTTGTTTATTTATTTATTAAGAATCTGAGAGCAACTGAGGCAAACCAGTTGGGTCCAGTCAGGCTTTTTGAAAAGAGGGAAGTTCAAAATTGTGATGATTTCATTGGCATATATATATTGTTTTATTATGTTTGAGAATTATATAGAAATATTTGTCATTGCTGTCTTTTACTTTTTTCCCTAATTTCCAGTCTTGCTTAGCACTCGTGGTTAGTTAGTGTCTGCCTGTCTCTACTTTTTCTTCCTCGAAACAACTCTTGGAGGTGGGTGGAAAGGGGCCTAGGACAACACGATGCGGCCAAAGACTGTAGCTGGCCAAAAGGTACCCAGTAAGCTCAAATGGTTTAGGGTAGCCTAGACCCTGGATCTCTCCAGTCCTAGGCCAACTCCTTATCCACTAAATCACGGTGAGTTTTACATATTCTTTAAAAACATGTATTAAACACAAATAGATTTATTACAAGCCAGGATTGTGGCACTATATTGAGTATAGTAGCTTGGGTTTCTTGATGTTTATTTTGTATATAAAGCTAACCAAAGACAGATAAACTGCAGAAGCAATATCAAAGATGGAGTATGAGTTTTCTTCAATCTCATCTATATTGGCCATGGTTTAGCATTGGCAATCTGGACATTGTCATCATTCTTTAATAACCAGCCTGTGTTTCACTTCTTTGGGCCTATTATGTTGCTCCACAGGCCATCAGAAGAGACAGTCTCTCTGCTAATTGGCTCATGTTGCTCTAAGTATGCATGATATTTTTTATTGTCAAAGGCATGAAAAGGGCAAGATACATTTTAAAAAGTCAGATTTGTTTTAACAGAAAAGACACATGTAGATTTTGTTCATGGAATCTGCCAGGAACAATATCCTAATGAGCTTCCAGCATGATCTGAAAAACAATTCCTTTTTAATCCTAGTGGATGAAAGCTTTGTACACTGCATGTACATATGCACACACACAAACTCACATATATTTTTTTTAAAACCAAACACATCCTGAAATGTCAAAATACTACATGTTAGAAAAACGTTAGTTCTTTGATGTATCTACCTCCGTTTTGTGTAATTCCAGATGAAGGTGCAGGTTGATACTCATACAAAGTGATTCGCCCCCCTCCCTCCATCATATGGCATAGCCAGAGTTTTGCAATTATGGTTGATTGAATATGAGCCATCAAGTCATTGTCCACTCTTAGCAACCTCATTGATTTTTTTCCATGACAATCCTAACCTGGTCTTTCAGGTTGTCCAAAATTGCACGCATTGCCACTGTAACCCAGTCTATCAACCGTGCTGCTGGACATCATCTTCTCTTTCTTTCCATCTTTCCCAGCATTAGAGCCTTCTCTAGGGAGATGGGCTTCCATTCAATTTATCTAAAACAGGATAATTTGGTTATTTAAAATCCTGTTTTGAAAGTGACAATGAGTTTGAAGTGGGACTCTTTGTTCTTATTAGAAGAAATTCCTCATTCAGGTCACTTTCCTTCTCCTAGGAACCACCTGGGTGCTGCCATGATTAGGGAAAGAAGCCCACATACAGAACTGCCAGCATGTCAGAAAGGGAAAGCTTCGCCACCATGCAAAATGTTCTATTTGGAAGCTGGAACATGTACAATTGATCAAATCACCTCCTGTTTAACATTAAAAATAAAACAGCCAGGACCACCCATAGAATGGCTAGATCAATGGGAACTAGAATTAAAATGGAATAGTTTCCCAGAAAGTCCTGTCCCTACAATGGAACACTTTGCACATGAGAAAATCCGAGTGATTTATTACCTTTTATATTTATAGAAAAGGAGAAGTTTGCATATTTAGATGTGGACCTGAGTGGTGAAATGAGACACATAGTTAATGATCAGTCACAAAGCACTGGTTGGCTGGTAGATTTTCTGTACTTAGGTTATTGGCCAGAAATACCAAGCTAATTTACAGATTTTTAAACATGCCCATGCGAATAGTACGCTGACATCTGAATAGTTAGAAAAATATTCAGAATAGTCTGGACGAATTGTCTTGAGAATGGTTGAAGGAGGAATCTTGTTAAAGTATCTCTCATCTTTTCCTAGAGTAAAAAGAACAAAGTTTGGAGGGGTTTTTTTTGGTAAAGGTACAGGAGTTGTTTATTTATATGGAAACAGTTTTCCTAGATTACTGCATAAGTATAGAGCAGGATTTGTCTCAGCCATTTTGGGAAGTCAGGAGTTTTTAAAAAGGGAGATATATTTACAGGCAATATATAAGTAATGGAACGGAATCATTTTATGATGGAATTCTGCAAGTCAGAGGCATTTAACTTGGAGCATTTAGCAGAAATATATTTGTATGCTTCAGATTTTCAGATTCATGTAATGCAATTGGGAAATTAAATAGAAGGGGAAGGACAGGGATGGGTAAATGAGAGAAGTAAGTACATTCTATCAGATTTTGACTAGGTATGGACAGAATACAGCACGCTTCTTCAGAAATTAGCCAAATAATCTAGAAGCAGCTAAAACCTATTGAAAACCAATCTTGTCCTGTCCCTTTCTATCAATGCACTTAAATAGCTCTTTCTCAGTTCAGGAGTGGAAAATTATTTGTGAGTCAGAAGAATTGAATTGGTTGTGGGAGGTGCTTCTGAAGATGGAAAAGAGGATTACAAGGCAAGGATGGCTTAAGAAAAGATATAAAGAACTTGGTTTCTTGGAAAGAAGATTGTGCGTCTCCATTTTGAAGGCATCTGAGATGCCTCTCGGAAGAGGGAACATGACTTTGTGATAACAAGGAGAGATTAAAGTACACTAAAGAAGATAAAAATCACAAAAAGCACTTGTGGAAACACTTAAGATATGGCACCAAATAGGTTGTGAAGAAAAAGAATGAAACCTAAGTCCTCATGAGTAACAATGGATTCATTTAGAAGTCATGCACCTAAAGGGAGATGGACATGTGGGCTGATGCAAACAGGGAAGAACTAGTGATTATGAATGACAACTACTTTAGTAACTTCTTTGTATATATGAGCAAGGTGATAGGAATTGATATTAAGTGAAGCAGGCAGTTGGGGGAAAATATAGAATGGAGCCAAGAAAAAAATAATTCACTCTATTTCAACATTTTCCAAACTGGCATCCTTCAAATGTGTTGGAATTCCAGTTCTACAAATTCTCAAACAATATGGTTACAGGCTCGCTGGTAATTCAGAAGAAAATAATATATACAATTATATATAGACACTAAGAACTAATGCTTAAAATGGATAACCAAATATTCAGCTGGCATCAAAATGAAAATTGCTGGCATCAGCCCAGCCTTGGAGTTTATAACTGCCCTGTCTCACTTTCCCATGCAATATATTTTTCTCAGTTATAGGACACCCTCAAAAGGGGTGCTCCTCTAAATATTGAGATCCAAAACCGTTTAAACATCATTGTTCACTAATACTTTTTTCTGGATAGCCGTTGCAGATCCTTTATATCTAGTTAAGAATAATTCCTAAATTATATTATTTCCTGAAATAGAGCTATTACTGTTTGATAATACCTGTAGATCCAGGTCAAGGATAGTCCAACACTTCATGAATTTTAGTATTTTAAATGGGAAATTACCAATAGGACGGTTGTCACCAAGCTGTCTCTTGTCTTTGTCTAAGGGCAGGCCCAGATGGCAGGCCAATGGAAGCTGACCAAAATCACTCCCAGCTACTAAAGAATGTGATTCACTTGTGACAAAAATGAGCCCAGGTATCAAAATGTCTTGATAACTTTATTCCATCTCACTTAGCTAACTTCATGTGCCCCCCCTCTCTCTACCTCCATCTCTTTCTCAGCTGAAAAGTCTTGAGTTCAGACTGCAACAGGATATAAGGATAAATATATATTCAGATTTGTATCTACCTATTTTCTTGTCATTGTCACAAGCCATCCAGTGATGGAAAGCTCTAACTCTATGGTTTACTCAATTACAAAACTGAAAAAAAAACCTCCTCTAAAGGAGTCACTTTAAAAGTTGCTCTCTGGCTGTTGAGTTGAATTATCTATGATAATTAGATTAAAAAATTAAGAGACCTAACCCCACTGATTAGGTTGAAATAATAATTTCAGAGAGGCTCCTCACTCAAGATCCCCAACGGTCAGCTGATTTTGCCACCAAAGCTGGTTATTTGATGGCTCTACTCCCTGTTTTTTGAAGGGGAGATTAG